CCAGCCAGCAAGGGCTGGCTGGGGAATTCTGGGAGTTGAAGTCCACCCGTCTTAAAGCACCCAAGGTTGAGAAACACCGCTCTACAGCAAGGCTTGTGCTAACCAGGATTGAAACTTAGACTTTAATTTCTCTCTGGTGTGTGTGTGTGTGCGCATGTGTGTGTGTCCGTGTGTGTGGGAAATGGCATTTTTTTCCAGATGTTTGTCTTCCACACTGTCAGCCGGTCGCAGCCCATCCATTTCGTCCAGTGTGCCACTGTGGGGAGCTTTGAGGCGCACTGGCAGGAAGCCTGTTATAACCTGTTGACTTTTTCTTGCCTCTTCCTGCTGCCGCTGCTGGTCATGGTGCTCTGTTACGCCTGCATCTTCGCGGAGATTTCCAGAAAGATGGCGCGAGCCAACGGTGAGGCTACTCCAGAAGCGCCGGCTGATGGGCTTTCCTGGAGGGGACGCGCACGGTGACCCTCCAGGAGCATGCAACATGCCACCGGGGCTTCGAAATGCCCTCTCTGCGGGCATGAAGCCATGAAAGCACCCGACCCACAGCAGAGGCTGTCTTTGGGGCAAGACCCCTGAATTGGGCATGGTGCTGAAGGCCACGTATATCTGATTTCCCCAATGAAATCGAGGCCAGCCAAGGAAGAGGGGAGGTCGGGAACCAGAAATGACAAACAACGTGGGTGACGATGTTGTCATCTCCCCGAATGACCAATCTGAGTCACTTGCCCCGTGATGTCATGACACCAGTCCTGCCCTTGAGGGACCTCAAGTCCCGATCCAGTGGGTTTCTTTGGGGCTTGGGGTCCCTTGTTGAATGGAGCCCATCATAGTTTGTTCAAGAACCCATCATTCAGCAAAAGAGAGCATAGCCTTGAACAGCGTTTCTCAACCTTGGGCACTTTAAGATGGGTGGACTTCGACTCCCAGAATTCCCCAGCCAGCAAGGTTTGGTTTGTTTGGAAGTATGACCCATTAAGCAGGGGGCTGGGGGAAATAAGCACTTGGGGAAGGGGATGCAGTTTAAGCAACCCTACTCTAAAGCAGTGTTTCTCAACCTTGGGCGCTTTAAGACGGGTGGACTTCAACTCCCAGAATTCCCCAGCCAGCAAGGTTTGGTTTGTTTGGAAGTATGACCCATTAAGCAGGGGGCTGGGGGAAATAAGCACTTGGGGAAGGGGATGCAGTTTAA